ACCAGCTCTTTTCTTGTCCTACTCAGCTCCTCTGAGTTTCCAGACCTTTGTCACTCTTTGTCACTCCTACAGCACATCTCACCACTGTCCTGCTGTCCTCATACATGTCCTGTACCAGTTTAACATACTTTTCTGCCACTCCAGATTTCCTCATATAATACCACACCTCTTCTCTCAGCACCCTGTCAGATGTTTTTTCTAAATCCACAAAGATACAATGGAGTTCTTTCTGACCCTCTCTGTACTTCTCCATCAACATTCTCAAAGCAAAGACGGTGTCTGTGGTGCTCTTTCTTGGCATGAAACCCTAACTGCTGCTCACAGTTGCCTCTTGTCTAAGTCTTGCTTCCACAACTCTCTCCCAGATATTCATTGTGTGGCTCATCACCTTAATTCCCCTGTAGTTGCTACAACTCTGTACATCACCCTTGTTCTTGAAAATTGGCACCAGCACACTTCTCCATTCCTCAGGCATTTTATCACCCTCATATATACCATACCATACCATACCATTTATAGAGCACTTAAAACAGCTACAAGGCCAACCAAAGTGCTGTACAGACAGAACAACAGACAATACGTGAAGCAATATACAAAATGAAGTAAATCAAAAATATAGACATAAAAACGATGCAGATAATAAATATGACGACAAACCAGTGTGGAGCGTACAGGTTCAAAACACAGATCATCTGTGTTTGAACCATTGAATATCTGAGTCAAAAACCTCACTGCCATCTCTCCAAGACATTTCCAAACCTCCACTGGTCATCAGGTCCTACTGCCTTCCCCTTCTTCATTCTTTTCAGAGCTTTCCGGACTTCACCCTCACCAATCTTTCCCACTTCCTGATCCACAGTTTCTATGACCTCTACTCTTCTTTCTCTTTCATTCTCTTCATTCATTAGCTCCTCAAAGTACTCCTTCCATCTTCTCGTCACACTCTCCTCACTTGTTAGAACATTACCCATTATTATCTTTAATAAGCCTAACCTGCTGCACATCCTTTCCAGCCTGATCCCTCTGTCTTCTCGCCCTCTTCAGTGTCCAGTCTCCCATACAACTCATCATACGCCCTCTGCTTTGCCTTAGCTACCTCCCTGTTTGCTCTCCGTCCCATCTCTTTACATTCCCGTCTCCTCTCTTTAGTCCTCTCACTGTCATATTTCTTCTTGGCTAATCTCTTTCTTTGAACGGTGTCCTGCACTTCACTATTACACAACCAGGTTTCCTTATCATCCATTCTCTGTCCAGATGACACACCAAGTACCTTCCTACCTGTCTCTCTAATTACTGTTGCTGTAGTAGTCCAGTCATCTGGAATCTCTTTCTTACTATCCAGAGCCTTCAACAGCTCTCTGAATTTCTCACAACATTCTCTCAACATTAAAGGGAGTTTTTCCTTTCCGCTGTTGCCATTGTGCTTGCTCAGGATGTGAGACTGCAACAAAGCCAAGATTCAACTTGTCTGCTGCCTCTTTAGATAGAGAACTTTACTAATTTGTGATTGTTTCTGTAAAGTGCCCTGAGACAACTGTGTTGTGATTTGGCGCTATATAAATAAAATGAATTAAATTCTACCTTCATCTTCCACCATTCGGTCTTCTTCTCTGATTTTACTCTTCTTCTCTTCTTCACAACAACAATCATTCTACACACAACCATCCGATGCTGTCTGGCCACACTCTCCCCTGCCACAACTTACAGTCTCCAATCTCCCTCAGGTTTCCTCTTCTACACAGAGTTTAGTCAACCTGCATACTCCTTCCTCCACTCTTATAAGTCACTCTACGTTCCTCCCTCTTTTGGAAATATATGTTGACTACAGCCATTTCCATTCTCTTGGTAAAATCCACCACCATCTGTTCTTCCTGGTTTCTTTCCTTGACACCAAACGTACCCATCACTTCCTCATCCTCTGTTTCCTTCACCAACATGTCCATTCAGGTCAGCTCCCATCACCACTCTCTCCTCGCTGGGAAAACTCTCCATCACTTCATCCAGATCTTTACAAAATGTATCTTTGTCCTCCTCATCACATCACATCCAAAGTGTGGAGCATAACCATTGACAACATTTAGCATCAGACCTTCTACTTCTACCTTCAGACACATCACCCTATCTGACACTCTTCACCTCTACTACATTCTTTGCCAACTCCTCCTTCAGGACCACCCCTACTCCATTTCTCTTTCTATCCACACCATGGTAAAACAGTTTGAACCCTGCTCCAATGCTGCGAGCCTTGCTGCCCTTCCACTTGGTCTCTTGGACACAAAACATTTACCTTTCTTTTCAGCATCATGTCAGCCAGCTCTCTACCTTTGCCTGTCATTGTTCCCACATTTAAAGTTGCAACCCCTTAGTCTTACATTCTTGACTTTCCTCTTCTCCCTCTGTCTCCTGACACGTTTCCCTCCTCGTGGTCTTCGACTAAAGTCCCCAGTATACTCCCGCATATGTCCATACGCAGAGGTACGCACGTACCCCCCAGGGCATGTCCGTGCAAAGCTCAATTTTTACAACAGCATACGCGTACACGGTGTCACACAATAAACTGCCCAGCGATGGACTGTTTTGTATGCGACACCAATGTATTAAATTCCCCTTCTTCATCCCTGATCTGGCCTTTTTTTGTCTTTTTGCCAAGAGGCAGTGATCTCTTCCTCCTTTGTTGACGCCATGACTGAAATGGTGAGAAATGAAAGAATTTGTCACGAGAGAATTAAACTCAGGTCCAGCGTGGCTGCGGGAGGGTCTGGAGATTTCCTGGTGGGCTGGTCTGATGTGTGGGCTGCAGAGCCAGCGCTCCCTGTTTATTTTTATTTTTTACATATTTTTATTAACAACACAAACACAGAACGCCGTTGCAGCTGAGGCTGCCAGCGCTTGTTTTTATTTTCTTTATCCGACCTGTCAATTAATCCAGTAGGCGTGTCAGCAAATGACCAATCGGCGACCTCAATTTGTCCTGAAAGTAAACACTCCTCATCTGTGAAGCTGCTCTGCAGTTGCTCGGGGTGTACGCTCGAGAACAAAGTCTGAACCCTCTGCGTACAGTACACGCGTACGTACATGTGAACGGACGGACGCGGGAGTATACTGGGGGGCTTAACAGTAGCACAATTTCCGCCGGCACTCTGTTTGTCAACAGCACCGGTGACGGTCATTGTTAACCCGAGCCTCGATCGATCTGGTATGGTTTCACTTTGATGAACTCGCATTATTGTTTTGGCAAAAGTGTTTTACATCGGATGCCATTCCTGACACAACCCTCACGATTTACCCGGGCTTGGGACCGGCACAAGAGATACACTGGCTTGTGCTCCCTACTGGCTGGTTTAAAAATTATATTATATTTAAAATTCTATATTTTTCTTCATCATTTGATGTATTTGCACTCGTGCCTTTTATTGTTCAATTTAGAGATGTGGTTTGGGTTTCTTGTATACAGATTTTATTTTAGTGATTTAAAGTGTAATGCTTGTTTTGTGATTTGTTCATCTGTGGGTTAGAATAAAGTTGAACCAAAGGCTGTGTCTCTTCTTTAAACATGTTTGAGGGAAATATTCCTGAAAGATCCAATCATTTTGTCTTTGTACGATTTTTCAGCTGAGTTAACTTTAATTAACAGATTTAATAAAGTCAAAGTGAAAACAGGATTTCATGATAAAGTCGGCACCGTTTATTTATTTTTATTATTCACTGATAAAAAAAACATTATTTTTTATACATAAAATGTAAAAAAAAAAAAAAAAAAAAATGTTTCCACCCTCCGTCCCAGGCCTCCCGCCTGCCAAGGCTCGGAATCCGGCCTTTGTGAGCACGCGAGGCCGGGGCTTGGGGTCCGGCCTCGCGTGCTTCAATGGCTCGGCAGCTCGTATGATCCTCCGCAGTGACTCTGCTCGAATTTTGTCATCGGTCACCAAACACAAAAAACGCCTGGACTTCAGCATTAAACACGGTGTTGTTATTATTGTTTTTAAATCTTAAAAATAGATCCAGCCGCTGCTTCGCATTCCGAGAAATTACAAATGGCGGATCTGTGAAAAGTTTTTGAGATCCAGTGACTCCTCTCCCTGACCAATCAGAGTCCTGCATTCACACTTCAGTCCCGAGTCAGCTCGCTCGGTCCCACTAGGGAAGCAGGGACAAAACAAGGTCCCGAATCAGCTAAAAAGTACTGGTGCAAAAGGGATCTTTCCGTGGCGGGCTGAGCAGAGCTGGGGCTGAGTAGTAGTGCAAAAGGCCTATTATAGAAAGGCCTATAATAGAAAAAGGCCCATTATAGACCGGCAAGTACGGTAAACATTAGATGGGACTAATTAGATCACATTAGCAAACACAAACAAGAACACAGCTCACATGTTCAGATCTGGATAGTCATGTTTCTTACTTTAGAATCTCGTATCCGTTCAGCAGCACTGGAAAGATTCCCATCGCTGTGAGCTCTGCTGATGTTGGTAACACTGCTGCCACTGCAGGCTGAGGTTGTCCCACCTGGAGCACAAGAACAGCAACATGACCTGGACAAACACTGGCTCACAACTCAATAAAATGTAAACAAACATAACAGTATGACCCCAAATACAGCGACTAGATTCTCAAAATTTAACTTCTGCCCAAAACACATCCTTTAGTAATGGAAAATGTCTTTAATGTAAAATGTACTGCACTTGTAATGTGATGTTCCACAAAGTTGATGACTTCATACAGGATTAAATAATATAATTTGCATAGTAGGGCATTTTAAAGACTGGAGTTGTTTTAAGACAGTAAGAATCCATTTTGGTCTCTGCTGCTTTCTGACAAGCCATTAGCTCATCAGTCAGGTCAGTATTAAACCATTTCCTCAAACTGAGTTCATTCAAAGAATTATCTACAAGATATCGGTAGCTACACTGCCTGGCCAAAAAAGAAAAAGTGACCACCTGGATTTAACTAAGCAAACACGTCCGAGCCTCCTGTTGGATCATCACTGCACGGGTGATTATGTTTCAGCTGCAACAAGTTCTTTAACCCCAACTGGTGCAATGAGTTGCTTCTCATTCCTTCAACAACATGATGAAAGACTCACGGCGTGGTCGTGGAAAAGATGTCAGTCTGTTTCAGAAGGGTCAAATCATTGGCATCAAGCAGAGAAAACATCTAAGGAGATTGTAGAAACTACTAAAACTGGGTTAAGAACTGTCCAACACATTATTAAAAACTGGAAGGACAGTGGGGACCCATCGTCTTCCAGGAAGAAATGTGGCTGAAAAAATCCTGAATGATCGTGATTGGTGATCATTTAAAAGTTTGGTGAAAAATTAATGCAACACTGGATGGAAATAGATCTTGTGTCACTGCAGAAGCTTATTGAAACAATGCCACAGTGAATGCATGATGTAATCAAAGCTAAAGATAATTGGCTGCCCTCTCCCCTCCCTGATGGACATTTACACATCACGCTGCCTCAACAGAGCAGAAAGTAGAATCATGGACTGTTCACACCCGGGTGTTGAACTGTTTGACTTGTTTCAGGGAAGCGCTACAGGTGCATCAGAACAAGAACAAACAGATTCAAGAACAGTTTTTTCCTGAAAGCCATCACCACACTGAACTCACACATGCACTGATTTAATCATCTAACCTCCCAAACCCCTGGACTTCTACTGTGCAACACTACTGACATTTCATACTCTCAATCACCTTAACTACCTCACTAATATCCATCATGTGCAACATAATTGTGAAATACTTGTATTTTTTACTTTCATTATTATATCTATATTGCGTTAGATTTTTTATATTTTTAGTGTGTGTTTAGTGTTTAATGTGTGTTTTCTTAAGGCGTGTTTTTGCACTGGAAAAAGAAGTGGCTCTTAATTTCATTGTACTGCGTATAATGACAATAAAGGCATTCTGATTCTGATTCTAAAGCGCTCCAACAACATATTAGTGTGACCTTTGTTTTTTGGCCAGGCAGTGCATTACTCATAACATTTTTACAGAACCATAGTTTAAAACAGCAGGAATATCCCTTTAAGAAGGGTAAAATGATGACTATAAATAAGACTAAGCAGGCTTCTGCAATAACTAAAACAGCATTAAGAACAGTTCTAGACATTCATGAAATGTGTGAAAGATTAGTAAATCAATGTAAAAAAATTTTAAAGTCTTAAATGATCATGATTGTAACACATTTGGTAAATGATAAAAACAACTCTAAGCTATGTTTGTTAGTAAAAAACATTTAGAAAAAGTCAAACTGAAATGCATTAAGGGTTAAACAGACTTGTAGCCTAATGGTAGCCAGGGATGTGCAAGGACAAGTTTGTTAAAAGCATAAAAACTTCAATTGTAGAGTGACAGATTATATTTTGATGAGTTCTGATTGTTGTCGGCTCCTGGGTGATGGAAGCATGAGGATAAAGAGCGTGTCAGATGATGTGATGCAGCAGCAAGGAAGTACCTTGGGTGGTCAGACTGGTTGAAGTTAAAGTGAAAGTTCACAGGTCATCTTTCTCACACACAGACTGCTCACCACACAGCTCAACCTTAACTATCCCCCTGATGACTGTGGAGATGTGATGACGACGGCACTCTACAGTAATAAATTCAGCTCTGGACAGAAATAAACGTTGCGACACCACACACACTTATTCATGTCACGATGGATGTTTGCTGTAATCAAAGCTGAAAGAGTTCTTTGTAGCTAGGCAGTTTATGTGATGCACTTAAAACGTGATTGTTTCAGTGTAAATGTTAGTTTTTAACAATGTGAAATCAAAGGAGCTGACAAGGATCTTCCTGCAGGCTCATCCTCAAGCTTTCCTGTAGAGGGCCTGGATCTTTGCACTTTGTTCACCAATGTTGTTTTTAAATGTGCTATCTACATGAAGTGGACTGACATTGGGCCGGAGCGTTCTCTCACCTGCCACAGAGTTGGAGGCTGCAGAGCCAGTGGAGGAGCTAGCAGAGCTGACCATGCTGGCGTTACTGCTGCTAACTCCACCCGTGCTGGCGCTGCTGTGGCTGCTCCTCTTCCAGCCCTCCCTGGTGCTGCTGGCCCGGTGCCGGGGGCCGTGCTCCCTGATGTAGTTACGCACCTGCGGGCATCAGACAGAGGAGCTTCAAACTGTCCTATGCTCAAACTACAACATGGAGTCATGGAGGGGATTGAACTTCAAGTGCTTACTTTCCATTTTTAAATTCCACACTTGTTCGTACTCATATTTTCATTTATTTGTATATTATATATTTATATATATATATTTACTGTAGATTTTTGAGCCTTTTATATTAAAACATCAGTAAATTGACTAATTCACTGGCTTTGTACAGCAGTGCAGTTTCATTATCTGAATGTGAATGTAAATTATTGAATAGTTTTAAATCACTTTATTTTTTATTGGCTTACCGATGCATCTTGAGGGGATAAACAAGTAACAACTAAAAGATCAACTTTTCCTTAATTGACGCTTTGTTTTATTTCAACTTTAATACTTTTTTAATACAAATCACAAGAATGTGCATAACCCTTGAGCAAATCTCATTAAATAACATTTGAGTCTTTATACATGAACCTGTATGGCCCATTCTGCTAAACCAGTAAAGTGGAATTTTGTCTCAATGACATTGGGGTTCCTTGCAATAACAAAAATACACTTTTTAGTTTAGGTTTTTGTTAGATATTTATCTAGACTGGTCCTGGGGTTTTGATCTGCCCAGAGACGGGATTATAATGACATTATGACCCAGTTCTGACTGGGTTAAACTGGGCCAGCAGCTCTAAAAGAGTCTCCCAGGGATTCAATATCCGTCAAGGAACAGTTTATTTCTGCTGCATCACGTAGAAAGGCTTTTTGAAGCACCGTCTCATTTTTTCCTTACACGTCAAAGCACACAAGATCTTGAGATCACACTTAGTCCTCCTCATACACCGTCAGGTTGAGCTCCCCTTATGTGAAAGAGGAGACTAGGCCCTATAAGTCTGTAATGCTGCGGGACATCTGCCCCCTTCCAGTTTGTGATTGCGTCACAGACCAGAGAGACCAGCGCTGTAAACTGTAACCCTTTCCTGCTTGATTTAATACAACTGGTAAAACTGAATTCATGGGTCACCGGTCACTGCAGCTAGCTGCTGCTAGCCGTGGGCCTTAGGCCTCCTCTCAGACCCAGGACCTGCCCCCAGCCCACGCTGCTCCCTCGGCTCGGACCTCCCTCAGAAGCAGCAACTCACACAAACAATAAATCAAGGAAACAGTTTCTTTCAGTGTGCAATGATTTCAGTGAGGTCCAGATAATACATGGAGCACAGCTGTTGGTATCCACACAGTAAAGGGTGATAGTAATATTTTCCTCCCCCCGTGTAACGTATTCAGTGTCACTGGGGGCAAAATAAGTCCTGAAGAGGACAAGTCCAACTTTCTTCGTGCTCTCTAGTTTAAGACACAGAAACAAGCTGAAAATGTCAGAACTGCCAACAGAATAGATGGTTTGACATTCTTCTTGTATGGTCATCATAAAAAACAACCTAAACATTTCAGCAACTTTTAGAAAATTTGAATTTCAGAAAAAGCAACTGAAAAAAGTTTTTTTTTAATTCTCCCCTCCACACACTTATCCATACCTAAAAAAGTACTTTGACTGAACTCCATACTTCCTCATACTTGAAGACTTTGTAAGAATCCAGTTAAACCATCATATACACTCATTTACACAAGAAACAATAAATTGGGTTTAATTAATAAAAACTGAACTTAGTTTGTCAAATCTGAGTAAATGATTAATAATCCTGAACCAAAATCAAGATATTGAAAGTTTTCTCTTTCTGCTTTTAGAAACAAACAAACAATATAGAAAGACAAAGCATCCATATTTCAAAGCCTGAAGATTTAGATTAAATGTTCAGCTTTCACACGTGTAGCTGCGTCTCGGTGTTTCAGCAGTTTGTTCACCTGCTTCAGCTTCTCGTCAGTGAGACAGTTGAGTTCAATGATGAACTCGCTGTCAGTGGGAGAGATCTGGGCACAGGGGTCGATGATCTTGATGATGTCCAGCTGTTCTCTCAAGCCCATCTCTGTGCTGACTTTGCGACTCAAGTACTCGATGTACTCCACCTGTTCATCAAACTGCAGATTAGATTTTTGCTGCAACAGACTGATGATTTCTGCTCAGGGAGGTGTTCTTGAGCAACATACTTGTTCATCGTTGGTCATGGCACTCCAGGGCAATTCATCCAGGTTGCGATGAGGGTGGGGCTTTGGCTTCCTCTTGGAAAACAAACATGGTGAACTTGGCACACTTGGGATTATATCAGACAGGAAATCACTGCCACTGGCAATGTCACTTCCTGGCAACTGGATGGACAAGAACAATCAACAATGAGAAGCGTAAATAACAAAAGAATAAACAGACATCGAAGAAACATCATTTACAGCCAAACACCAAAGCAAAACCTTCAGCCAAGTTCTAAGGACGTAGAAAATACAAGACAATAAGAACACGGCATCCACCTGCCACTCAAACTCGCTGTCAGACCAGTCCCAGTACGTGCTGATGGAGGAGGATACGTCACTGCACACACTGCCCTCAGGAAACAAATCAAGTGACGTAAGTTCCTGATCATCTAGAAGGGAATAACAGTCATCCTGATCCCCGACAGACACAGAGGAGAAGAGCTCCTCGCTGCACTCGGAGCTGGCTACACTGGTTCCACAGGAGGTCAGGTTCCACCTGCACACAACCAGGACAGTACTTTCAGCTACATGACATTTTTATTTATTCATTCATTTAAAAGAACAAATTCATCAAAAAGAAAGAACACTGAATGAAAAGGGTGCAGAAAGAAGAAAAAAGTATTCTATTAGCCCCTTATTAAAAATACAAACAAACTACAACCTACGCTTGAACAATGTCCAAATTGAAAACAAAAAGCATTAGGCATCCTTCACCTGACACCATACCTTTACCTTAATCATGCTGATGAAGATTCTCAGTCATCCAGGACGTGGTAAATCCAAAAAAAGGGTTAAAAACTAAACAACTGGACTTTATTTGTAACTGAAGACATTTCGCTTCTCATACAAAGAGCTTTCTCAATTCACAGAAACAAGGAGTGTAGGATTAGATTCTAGAATTGTGCCGCTCAAGGTGGCTGCATGTTGGAGTAGCTCTGTTACTTTCATTCTGAGATATTACTTTTGATAACTTTAATTCCTCTTTTTTCTGGATATAAATCACTTTTTTTGGATGATTGTTTCCTCTGGTGTCGGATGCTGTGCAGCTGGAAGGATTTTTACAGAAATAGCTTTGCTTTTGGACATTTGTTATGATGCGTAACCATAACAACAAGGTTGTTTTTTACAACCGGGAGCAGCTGATTAACATCTCCAAATCTCAAATAATATCTCAACTACAGCCTCAAATCCCAAATGAGTTGAAAAGGAGGCGTCGTGGATGCAGAGCAGGAGCAAAGAAGATGGAGAAAGAGAGAAGAATGCAGTTTAAACCATCTCTTCCATCGATCATGATGGGCAATGTGAGATTGCTGGGAAACAAGTTGGATGAACTTCAAGCCCTAACAAGGACCCATGCAGAGTATCGGGAATGCAGTATTATGCGTTTCACTGAGACATGGCTGCAGGATCATATCCCCGACTCCAGCGTTTCCTTGCCAGGCTTTCTGACCATACGAGCAGATAGAGATTTAAAGCAGAGAGGCAAAAGGAAAGGAGGTGGGTTGGCAGTGCTTGTGAACAACAGATGGTGTAATCCTGGACATGTTACTGTGAAGTGTCGTCTCTGCAGTCTAGATGTTGAACTGTTAGCACTAAGTTGTCGTCCATATTATTTGCCATGAGAGTTCACCAGTGTTATTTTGGCAACTGTTTACATTCCACCCAATGCTGTTGCCGAGACTGCGTGTGATGTCATCAGCTCTGAGGTTGCTAAGCTACAGACACAACACCCTAGTGCGCTTGTTGCAATATCTGGGGATTTTAATCATGCCTCTCTCTCTGCTACACTTCCAACATTCGAACAGTTTGTCAGCTGCTCTACCAGAGAAAACAAAATGCTGGACTAGTTTTATGCAAATGTCAAGGATTCATACATTGCTAAAACAAGACCCCCTCTTGGCAAATCAGATCACAATCTTGTGTTTCTCTGCTCAAAATAACAACTATAGACCTATATGAAATGATGATGGCGCCGCTGTGTCTGGCACGCCGTCCACCTCTGCTGTCTTCGCTACTTGTGTTTTTGCTTTTCTTTGCATTTTTACCTTCAGTATGGTCTCTGTCAAAGCTACTAGTGTACGATCGCCAGGCACTTTTAAATATTAGAGACTTTATGCAGAACTGATCAATTAACTTTGACAAACATTATCAGCTTCCGCCACCACCGCACCTTGCCTCGGTGCCTACCTGTTTATGGCGTTCTCTCGCCACGCTGCCCTCCAGGAGCCGCCGACGTCGACGACGTGGAAGGAGAAGCGGACTTCATGTCAAACTCCGGATACAGGATTTTAACTTCCACGGCTTTCACAACCAGCAAACAAGGGATTCCTATCTTTGGCTCCGGCCGGTTGTCCCGGACGCCAGCTGCCCACGCCCCCGCTACCGGCTCGTTGGGACCCGCACCCGGGGCTGCGTTCAGGAGAACCTCCGTCCGCTTGTCCGTGGATGTCAGCAAACTGTTAGTAACTCCGTTCGTTTGGCACTGATTAACATCAGATCACTAACTAACAAAACATTTATCATGAATGACTTTTTCTCCTCTCACACACTGGATTTTCTTTTGTTGACGGAGACGTGGATGAGACCAGATGAGACCAGTGCCTTCTCTGAGCTCCTCCCACCCGGCTGCTGCCTCAGTTTTTAGAGACAATTTCAAATGTAGACTTCTACCTGCCAGAACATATTCTTCTTTTGAGTTACAGCTGTTCGTGGCTGAGCTGACATAGCCTGTATTATTTGGAATTGTCTACCGCCCACCTAAATATAATAAGGACTTTATTCAACAATTTTCTGAATTTTTAGCTGACTCCATCCCCAGATTTGATAATCTGCTGATCTGTGGAGATTTTAATATTCATGTTTGCTGCCCGTCTGATCAGTTAGCCTCTGATTTTATCAATCTTTTAACATCTTTTAACTTAACACAGTCTGTACATGGGTCTACTCATCTTCTTGGACATACCTTGGACCTTATTATATCTCATGGGCTGTCCATCTCACTCTGTGAAACATCTGAAACAGCCATCTCAGATCATTTCCCCATCATGTTGGAGTTTTCAGCCCCCCTACCAGTCAGTAGGCCTGCCGTTGCGGGTCATTGGCGTCGTATTTTTACTCCTGAGACAGCTGGACTGTTTACCGCTGCTTTTATGGACTTTCAGACTTTTGTTTCCAATGAACTTTGTCCAGATGGCTTCCTTCTCTCTTTCCAAACCACTTGCTCTGAAATTTTAGACTCCATCGCTCCTCTTCGGTTTAAATCCACCAAACCGAGAGCTGAACCGTGGTTAAATGACGCCTCTCGTGCTCTCAGGAAAACATGTAGGAAAGCAGAACGACAATGGAAGAAAGACAAACTTCTTTCATCTCTTAAATTTTTGAGAGAATGCCTTACAAACTACCAGAGATCTGTAAAAGAGGCAAAATGTTTATATTTATCTGGTTTAATTTCAAATAACTGCCATTGTCCTAGAGTGTTATTTAACACAATTAATTCTGTTATTAACCCAGCTGTGCGTATTTCACCAGATGCCACAGCCACTAACTGTGAAAACTTTCTAAAATTCTTCCAGGATAAAGTGGCCTCAGTCAGACAGGTCACTAGTTCTGTTGCTCCTGACTCCTCTGTTGCCTCTGTAGCTCCAGTCGTGTTTGAACACTTTCAACCAGTGTCTCTTGCCACTCTCACTGATGTTGCTCAACACATGAAGCTCACTAATTGCCCACTGGACGTTCTTCCCTCCAAGTTTTTGAAAGAGGTTTTTAATTCTGTGGGTTTCTGTATTTTAACATTTTTAAACTCCTGCCTTCGTCTAGGAATTGTCCCTGCTGCATTTAAACATGCGGTTGTTAGGCCCCTTCTTAAAAAAACCTCACCTAGACCCATCACTTTTATCAAATTTTAGATCTATTTTGCATCTGCCTTTTTTAGCTAAAGTCTTAGAAAAAGTTGTTTTTATGCAGTTACAACCTGTTTTAGAAAACCATGGTATCTATGAAACATTTCAGTCTGGATTTAGAACCCGTCATTCTACCGAATCAGCCCTGTTAAAAGTCCATAATGACATTTCCATGTCCATGGATGTCAAGTGTCCCGTTGCTCTGGTGCTGCTGGACCTTACAGCTGCGTTTGACACAGTGGACCACGCTGTCCTGTTGTCTCGTCTCCAACATTATGTTGGAATTTCTGGTACAGCTCTCAAGTGGTTCACTGCTTATTTGACCAACAGAACGTTCTCTGTCATGCTGAATAATCTGTCTTCCTCCTCTGCCCCTCTCTCTTGTGGTGTGCCACAGGGTTCTATTCTTGGTCCTGTCCTCTTCACATTGTACATGCTGCCCCTTGGATCAGTGATAGCCAAACATAATTTTTCTTTTCACTGCTATGCTGATGATGTACAAATTTATTTACCAATGAAACCTAAAAACAGTAACCTTCTCACACCTTTCGTTGATTGTATTGCCGACATTAAACAGTGGCTTCATCTTAATTTTTTGTTTTTAAACAAAGGAAAGACAGAATGCATTTTCTTTGGTGATGATGCTCCCTGTAACTTTGGTGCTCTGACATCCAAGTTCAGATCCACAGTTAAAAACTTGGGAGTGACATTTGATAAAGACTTAAAGTTTGACAAACAAATATCCTCTGTAGTCGAGGCCTGTTTTTATCAGTTACGTCTTTTATCCAAAGTTAAGCCTTTTTTAAATCGTTCTGACTTAAAAAAGGCCATCCATGCTTTTATAACTTCAAGGCTCGACTACTGCAATTCCCATATGCATGAATCTCCCAATCCTCCATTAGACGCCTGCAATTGGTCCAAAATGCTGCAGCTCGACTTTTAACCAACACCTCCAGACGTGAGCACATCACCCCTGTTTTATTTTCTCTCCACTGGCTTCCAGTCGATTTTAGAATTAAATTTAAAATTTTATTATTCACTTTTAAAGCTCTCAATGGTCTTGCCCCACTATATTTGTCTAATCTTGTAGCTGTCCGTGAATATAGGAGAACACTGAGATCTTCTAATACATTTCTACTTTCTGTCCCAAAATCCAACTACAAACGATGGGGTGACCGGGCCTTTTCGGTTGTCGCATCCAGACTCTGGAACCAGCTACCTCAGGACTTGCGCACCATCACTGACATGGAGTATTTTAAATCTAATCTTAAAACCTTTTTATTCAGGCAGGCTTTTAATACCTAGTAGGTCTTTGACAATTTTGCTATGTTTTAATTGTTTTTGTTTTTAACTGACTGATTTTTTTATTATTCTTGTTTGTTTTTAACTTCTGTACTGTGCAGCACTTTGTGCACCTTTTGGCTGCTGGAAAGGGCTCTATAAATAAAGTTTGATTTGATTGATTGATTGAAAATATAAACCCCTTGTTCAGAGGCAACCTGCAATAAAGAGAACAGTGAGAAAATGGTCAACGGAAGCTGAAAAAGCCCTGCGGGGTTGTTTTGAGGCTACAGACTGGGATGCACTGTGGCAGCCA